GTCAAAATCCGTCTGATTTTGTGCTGTAGCTGTAGTGGGTTGGGCTTGAACGCACATTAGCGTCGCCTGCATGGAATGGATCGAAATCTTAACTTATTCTAATCCTAACCAATTTTTATCAAACACCTTCTCCGCTACTTGAGCTAATTCCAAGAGCATACACCGAAATTATTTTTGAGTAAAAGCAAAAACAACACGGCAAGGGGTTTTAAGGTAAATCTAAAGTAAATCTAGATACGCCTAGTCTCTTATTTATAAGTCACATGTATTAGATAAAACTAAACATTTGCAATCATTCGTAAATCATATGTATCAAGTAAATCTGAATAAACTTAACTATGAGCAAACCATGCGTATATGATAAATAAAAATTCATGAAATGAAGTGGAAAACTCATGTACCTGACGGATAACAGTGGTGGATATGCACATTGTGGATGATGACATTGCTTATGAACTGCAATGTGATGCAGCCACCACCCACAATGTGGACATTGGCTCCAGGGCCATCAAGGGTCTTGTAGCTGTTGAAGATGAGCTCTTGGGAGAGCTTGATGAGCATGTTGCCAGGGAACACAATCCAGGGAGGCTCAGTCTGTATCACAGCATATCTCAGAGTGCCTGGCCTTGGATTCACAGCATCATCATTAGAAGAGTCTGACAATATAATACTCACCACCTTTGCCTCCAAGAGCATATTGGCCAAACCCAATTGCACAATCTGCTAAGCTCTGCCTGTTGTTTGGCCAATTTGGGTCACATTCCCAACAGTAATCTATTGGGTTTCCTGTTTGGCATGAAGAGTCCTGGTATTTTTGGGTTCCTTGCAGCATTTGCCTTCTTGCCAAAGAAGCATAAACCTTCCTGAAAAATAAAGGGAAAAAAGAAGTAAAGATTGATAACTCAGATCTACATAAGGCTGAGAAACAGAAGAAAACAGAGGTAATTAAAGCTATGTATTTACCTATGAACTTCTTGAACAACTTCTTCTAGGTTGTTGAGGAATGCTGTGGCAAGAGAAGAAAATGAGCAGAGAAGAAAGAGCAGGACAATGCAAGGTAATACAACAAATTTTAAAGCTTGCTATACAATAGCAATACTATATCAAGAGAATGTGGTTCCACCCTTTTATAATCAAGGGCTGTATATGCTATAGGAAGCTAGTCTGGATGAGTTGTACACATTTTGCCCTCTACGGCTTTCAGATAGTATATGAGTTTGACCATTGTTTTTATAACTTGGGCTACAAATTTTTTTCGCTTGATGGCTATGCTCAGGATCAGCACAACAAGCATTTTCATCAGAGATTTGTATACCATTTAAAATGGCCAAACTATGAGCTTCCTACATGATCCAATTTCGTTCGCTATTTCTAGTCCTTTTGTGCACCGCGCACAAAAATTTAAAAACCCAAGCAATAGACTGAAAACAGGAAAGGAAATAAAACATGCATAAATAAACTTTTAAATTATCAATCACACTTAAATTATAATTAAGCAAAGCAAATGCACAGTGATATTGACAGAACCACAGAAATAAGAATTTTAAATACCATAACATTTGATAATCAATAAGCTACAGCCACTATGCATAGTCTTTTAAAAAATGAATGAAATACTAACCTGTAGTCAAAGAAGCTATCAAGCACTTCCAAAAACAGCAACACAAAAGTAGGATTACAACAGCTATCTAAAATACGAAGACAGAAAAACAAAATTAGATCAAATCAACACAAAACAACGAAAAATCTGAATATTGAACAAATTAAAACATGAAAATATGATGATATGAAGCGAAGACGAGTTTTTTTTCAAATTGCTTGAGAGGAGAATCACATCTTACTTGGTTGAAAAGTAACCGATACCACAAAGAGAAAACTGAATAAACACATCACAACTCATTTCAAAATCCATATGCATGCAAGGTAGTGCAGACCAATGTTAAATGTTCAGCAAAAAACAAATTTCATAAAACGAAACATCGACCAAACCCTATATAATTAGTTAAGCCAATGGGATGAATTTGTTTCTGTAAATTAATTTAATGAGCCAAAGACATTCTAGATTTTGGACAACCTGGTGATCCCTAATTAGAGCATTAGATGAAAAAAAGAACTCTATACAGATACTATTCTCAGCATTCAGCCATGATAGTATATAAGGATTAAAGACAATGCACATTACAGAAGTTTGGTTAACAAAAAAAATAACATGCGAAGTTCATAACCATAGTGAAATTTTTAATATGACACATACTCAGTTCATCAATTCAATCAAAAATCCATCCTACCACATATCCAAATCATAATTTCAATGAAAAAAAGAACTCTATACAGATACTATTCTCCTCTGTTTTTCTCTCTCCATCAGTCATCAACGTCATTACACTTATTTTATATCAGCTTGTATTCACAAAAACCCTAAACCCTCAACAACATGCTCAGATGTTTCAATCCATTGCTCTACCCTAAAATTAACCTCAACAAAACACCCAAAAGATTCAACAACATACTCATATATTAGAGGGTTTCTCATTTTTTTTTATTATCAAACAACATAATTGATAAACCCAATACATTTTTAAGGAAGAAATACTTCATTTCAAAATCTGTAGCTTCCAATCAAATCAATCATTAGTATACAACACTTCAAATCTCATGAGTAAATAGCAAGTAATTCAACCAAGAAGATATCAATTCCATACTATAGATGCCTATAGTAATACTGTAATGCTATCAGAAGTCAGAACCTAAAAATCAATTCCATATCTAACACTGTTTGTGCAAATAATCTCGCGGGAGAATATTCGCTTCTAGATCCTTCAACCTTCGATCTTCCTTCTCTCTCCTTCTCGATTCCTGTAAAAAAGACTGGAGTAAATAGACCACACCCGGGGGGTGTTGGCCAAAGGCCCTCCGATGCCTAAGTTAGTTCGAGTGTTTGTAGGAAAACAATAGCTAAGCAAAGGGTACGGAGTTGTATGTATGGTGTGAACCGGGTGGCCGGAGCCGTGTGTGGTGGCCGGAGCCGTGTGGAGAAAATATGGAGAGTGGAGAGTGGAGAGGGAGAGAGAGCTTCGGGTATTTTCTCGGGTTTTAGATGTAGGTTTCGATGTACCTTGAATGATGAATGAAGTCATCTATTTATAGGAGCCTCGGGGCTAGGGTTTCGTAGAGATCGAGTCGGA